GGCATCTACGCACTAGCGATATGGTCATATGGTAAATAGTAAATCTTTTGTAATTAGGTGTCTATATGTCTAGTTACGTACTCCAAAATGTTCTTTTGTCTTGGGAACCTTACATTTTCAAATTCAACCTTTGAGGTGAGAGATTCGTTATTAAAGAAGCCAAAATTCAAATGGCAGAATTACCGCTTAGAAGCGAATGAATCTCTTCCCTCTTTCTTCGATAAAGACGCTTGGGTCGGACTGATTCTTGACTGGGCTTCAAGAGAAGACACACGCTTACTGCCCGTGTCTGTATATCTGTCTATTCCTAGTGATCATTTATGCATCCTAGAGGAATCCTTTTGATCATGGGATTTTAACTTCCGTGGAGTCCAATTCGAAAATGATCCACATTACCACCAGCAGCCAGAAGACACCAACATGGGTCCTCAAGTCATTATTGTTCATGAGTCCAGTTGGTGACGAACTGTTCCTGTAAAAGTACTATTCGTGAGAGATTTATCCCCAGGGAGCTGTCCGTGGATCCAGTGTGTTGTCTGGTATTTATTCTGCCTTACCTAAGGCAAAAGACAGTAAATCCCTTTTTTATAAATGAACATTAGTTCCAAGATATACCCCGAGCTTTGACAGGGTCTTGGATGCAAATTGATAGATATTGTATCCAGTTATTCCTATATGCTGAGGAGAGAAGTTCTTGATCATTGTACCAGCCATCCCAGATGTGTAAAAAGACACTTGTTCCAGTGAACCAGACCTGGCGGCAGATAAGTGAAGTACCAGCAGTTATGGTTAATCTTATTCCTAAGTGCCTGTTCCAGAAATCCAACGTTCCACATCTTAGCAATGATGGTGATGGCTGCTACTAGAAGAAACTCATGTGCTATCCAGTCATAACTTGTATTTTCCTCAGTAATATTTGATCTATTGAATTCCTATTGCCTTATTTCTACATCTGTTATAATGATTACATGAAATTTTTTGATTTTTACTTTCTTGGTTTTTTGTCCATCCTTCACTGTTCCTAATTGTCTGGAGTGTTAGAAGTAGTGGTATATTACACGTTTAACTGTGTTATTGTGACTAACATAGGAGACTATCTAGTCTAGGGGCTTCATTGTAATGAGGAAGTCAGGCCAAGTTATGCCTACAAATAGTTTATGTTCTGTAGTGCTATAATTTGATCGCCTCATTCCTGAAGTAGGTTGGATGTTTAATGGAGCTGCTGGATTCCGCCTAGACCATTTTAAATCTTGTCAATTCATTGTACACACAGTAATCTGGTAATCTGGTAATCCTAGTTTCAGCTTCATAGCAAACTGGTCACCCCATAGTTGCTCCGCTCCTGTGCCAACGAAAAACACACGTAGCTCTCAGTGTCACGCCATGCACTCAACTCAGAAGCTGGGCGACGAAACTACATCCTTCCAGTTTACAAATGGAGCAAAAATGCAATGGCCACCGTTATACGTATTCTTATTTCCCCATACATGCTCAACCCTGTTGTCCGCACAATGAAACTCATCCTACGTTTATTGTTAGTCCAACGACAGTGTAATTTTCTTCTATAGCATTCACTTGTTATATTAATTCATTTTTTTGTGTTTATATGTTGATTTATCTGTGCAATAATGCACCTGACGTAATAACAACGTTATTTTTCAGACTTTATCCTCAAAAGTTTCTGATTTAAATCAAAACAATAAATTATTGTGGGATACTGAAAGTATTAAATATAATTGCAGGCATTTTGGTAAAATACAGATCAATCAATCAGGCGCCGTCTCCACAATGAAGGTTGGCTGCAGTGGATCTCCAACAAGCCCTGTCTCTTGCCCTTGATGTACACTCACTCATACTGCTGTTCGTCCATCTCTTGATGTTATCCTCCCACTTGTAACGCTGTCTGCCTTTTGCAAGCCTACCTTGAACCTTTCCCTCTAGGATGATCTTTACAATACTGTTATGTCTTTTAATGTGGCCAAAATATTTCACTTGTCTCTTTTTTATTTCACCTAGCAACTCTCTTTTCAGTCCCAATTTCCTCAGTACCTCTGTATTTGATAGCTTTTGTTTCCATGAAATACGACCTAATCTTCTGTATATCCACATCTCCAAAGAATTGATACGATTTTCCAGTTGTTTGTTCATTGTCCATGTCTCTGTGCCATACAGTAAGGTTGAGAATACATAACATTTGACAATTCTAATTTTTAATGTATTGCTTATTTCTCTTGATGTCAGTAACTTTTGCATGTTGTTGAAAATACAGAAAGGCTAACTAAAAGAAAAGTTCGCTTTAAATGGTTGAAGAAATAAGAAATAGCACATATGTAGAATGCGAAGTACAAATTTAACTATCTGAAATAACCAGCGACAAGACACGGAGAGAATACGTGGCTAGCATTGGTTGGATAAAATTGGAAAACATTGCCGGCGTAAACAAATTGCAGACGGCGACGACATTATCAGTTCCAGCATCGAACGGGCTGTTTTTTCCAGGCAAGCACAGCTAAACCGCAGTAAGCAAACCAATAGGCACATACAGACTTTAGGCTCTAGTTTTTGGAATTAGCTTTTAGTTTTAGGAAACTGTAGTGACTGATATCATTTCGTTTAGGGCAGTGACGGCAATCTCAAAAAATTAAACGGACGCATTTTTTGGTCTCTATTATTACTATTAATATTGTCTTGACTTTGACTATCCACTATACTTCTATACTATTACTAATTAGTACTCATAATTAATAATATCACTGCTGTCACTGTCATTGCTGAGTTAAGAGAGCCATTCTTCAAGAAAGAATGCTGAGTATATTTAAATCCACGAGGCAGCAAGGTTATTTTAAGTCGTTACCGCAACATGATAATTAGATGAAAATAGAATTTGAGCCTGTAATGATTTTGATTTTATTAAAAGTGATAAAAGAAAACTTCAGTTTGAAATCATAGAGGAGGTCGCAAGACCTCTCTGTAGTCTGTAGTGTTCAGACAACAGTTCTTCGGTTATCCTCCGAATAACGGCCACATATTATGCCAGCCACAAAAAAACCTAACAGGGCCTCAGTCACATGTAAATTGCCGACTTCCGGCGGTTTAAAATGCGCACTTCCGGCGACTTCCGCCACCGCCGAGAGTATCTCCCACGCCGCTACTTGCGGCATGGATTGGGGCTAAACTAAATGGCTGGGACTCATGAGCAGCAGCTTCTGCATCTCCTGCAGCTTTGCTCGTGAGACCCAGCCATCTAGTTTAGCCCCAGTACGCATAGCGGCGTGGGAGATACTCCCGGCAATGGCGGTAGTCGGCAATTTACATGTGACCAAGGCCCTGTTTTTGGCCGCCATAATATGTGGCCGTTATTCGGAGGATAGCCAGTTCTACTTATTCATAATCTACTTCCCACTCTTCTCCACCTCTCCTTCTTCTCCTTTCCCAATAGTCCATAGGTCTTCGACCAACTCGTCTGAATCCTTTCATAGAATTTTGCTTGGGATTTTGTCGATGCAGTTTCTACAGAATTAGTTAGCCAGACTCCTGCCACCCCATCTTAGTCACCCTTTAGGCCATGCATGGTAGGTTCCTCTTAAAAGTCCATGCATTATAGGTTTATCATCAGGTTAACTGATCCTCTTGTCACACATGCATTATAGGATCATGATCATCCCTTGGTATACTCTCTGCTGCTCTTGGCATTTTGCAACAGTGGACAGGCATGCTTTGTGGAGAGTAGCATGTGCTTCTCTTCGGAGGTCATGGGGGAAGAACATTGTCTGGAACACCAATTTTATTATCACAGTTGTGATGTAGCGAGGAGTGACGAGGGAATCTGGCTGATACTCGACACTCAGAGGAATGGCAAGACAGACGTACCATTGAACTGCTACAGGCACCATTGGAATTACTAGTATTAGAACTCTACATTGGCTGCTGAAGATGGGAACAGAGCACCTAGGGGAATGAGGGCTTTGATGACGGTCCTTGAATCTACTCAACGCAATGGTATTTGTCTCAGGTTTTCTCTTGGACATCCAGTCCATTTGTTTCCCATCTCAGAGCTTGTTCTGTGATTGTCTGTTTCTCCTCATGGTGTGTACAGCATATTGCCATATTCTTTGTTGTGTCTATTTATATTGCAGTATTAGTTTTCGGCTATCCTCTGAAAAACGGGCACATATTATGGCAGCCACAAACACACCCTAACAGGGCCTCAGTCACATGTAAAATGCGGACTTCCGACGACTTAAATTGTGGACTTCCGGCGACTATCGCCACCGCTGAGAGTATCTACCACGCCGCTACATGTGGTGTGGAGCGGGGCTAAACTAGATGGCTGGGACTAACAAGCAAAAAAAATGGAGGCTGCAGGAGATGCGGTAGCTGCTGCTCTTGAGTCCCAGCCATCTAGTTTAGCCCTGCTTCACGCAGCGCGTAGCGGCGTGGGAGATACTCTCGGCGGTGGTGGTAGTCGCTGTAAGTCGGCAATTTACATGTGACCGAGGCCCTGTCAGGATGTGGTTTTGGCCGCCGATATATGTGCCTGTTATTTGGAAGATCGCCTAGTTTTCTTTGCTTCCATTATGAGCTCTGGTAACACATAGATGCACTAACATTGTTGGAGGGAAAACAACCTGCCATTTGATAACTAAAGAAACCTGGAGAAGGGCAGTAGAAAAGGATGTAGTGTAAACAGTCATGGAATACTATTGGGCAAAAAAGATGCAGACAAGTAGCAATATGGATCACTTGTGAATGCCTTTTGTGCATGAAGACATGAAGAGGAAATAGATAGATTAATAACAACCATTACTAGCTGTGGAAGGAATTTGCTTCATTCATTCAGTATTTTTTGTTTCATTTCCAGATGCAGACATCAAAAAGCATAATACTTCACTCACTTACTGATTGCTGATGGATCAGTGGCTTAACCAGAGCTGACTTTTGTCTTCATAATGAGTGCTCAATTGTTTACATTAAAACAGAAAAGAAACTGGATATTTAACATGTTTCCTGATCACTGTGTCATGGCTGTCCGTGGCAGGAGCTGCAAGAATATGTTCACTTTTATAGTTTTGACTTTGATCCTCTTTATCTCACTGTCTGAAGTGGATTCAAAGAAAACAGCAGCAAAATGCAGTGTATGCAAGGATATTGTAGAAAATTTTCAAAAGGTTTGTATGTATGATTTTTAAAACATACTACAAAGAAGGGCCCTTTTCATACCAGTGTCATATCAGGCATATTATGCTAGACTCATATTTGTGTAGACGAGTCAGCACTCGTTCCTGGAACCCACACAGAACATGAGCGCATGGGTTGGTCTGGCCTCATAAAATAAGTATCGAAGATTTTTTCAGGAAGGAAAAGGTTGCAGTCAAGTGAGCTGATCACTTACTTTACAAATTGCAGTAGCCACACATATAGGAATTCTGTTATCACAGTGTGGGTTCTGGTACCCCATTTTTGGGGGGGCGGGGGAGGAAGAATAGATATACTGCCCCCCCCCCCCTTTCCGCAATAAATATGTCATAACCGTAGATTAATTAGGGTTGTTTCCTTTGAAGTTGGAGTGAGTCTGCTTGAGAGGCGAGGAACCTAAATACAAATAGGCCAGATCTGAAGTCCAGAAGTCAGCTTCCTGTCGGAGTTTACAGATGGTGAACACCATGAAGAAGAAGAATTATTATTTCCAAAAATATCTGAGGCCAGACCAACCATAAGGCAATGTACTGTGTGGGAGTTCCAGGGACCCATTTAAAAAAAAAAAAAAGACACCCCCTCCCCCTTTGTATGCCATAAAAGTTGACTAATTGTTCCAGGGACCCAATTTGGAAGAAAAAAAATAGATACCCCCCCCCCCCCCCCCCCCCAACCGGTATGCCGTACAAGTTGACTAATTAGGAATTTGCTGAAATCAGATAAGTTGGGCAGGAAGGGGCAGATAAAACAGCCTAGCTGTAAACCACAACACAACATGCCAACTGCCTTTTCAAGAATGAAAGTAGGGGCAGGAGGAGGGGGGATTCAAACAAAACTACTGTGTTGAATTACTAAAGTAAAAGTAATCAATTTACACAACACTTTACGGAAAAGTATCTTAGAATTGTGATATTTTTTGTTTTCACGTCTGCTGGGTCATGGTATTATTGGGCTGCGCGACTAAAGAAAAATATCTTTCTCATCTTCATTCCTAAAAATTAATACCCATTTTGCAGATCCGGGTCAGCGCGAGAGCATTATAGGTGGAAAAAATTCATTTTTGTTACGAGGGGACGTCAGTAAGTCACAGATGGTTGTTCAACTCTTTCAATGCCACATTGTTTCTGGGGTTTGGACAGCATAATTTTGAGCGGAATTTTTTTACTGCAACAGAACAAAGCAAAAACCTTCCTGAAGAAAAAGTATTGGCTGTATCGAGACATATAATATATCAATTTAAAGATAAATTAGTGCAGTAAAATATAATTAAAATCACACAACATTCAAGGATGTTAGACACCTATAAAAATTATGTCCGTAAAAAGTTTTTCCTTAAAAAAAAAAAAAACTGCTATCCAGTTCTAAGAATGCAGATGTCTTCTCTGTTCAATTATGTATTAGCTAGTCTTCATTGGAAACAGTTAATTTAAATACTTTGGATCTTATGATCATTTTTGTATGACATCAGATTTCACAAAAACCGAACATCGGAAAAACAGCTGATCGAAACATTGATCTGATTGAAATATTTTGTTCAATTTTCATATCCTAAACTAAATTATCACTAGTAGGTTTGTCACTTAGACATCAATCTTAATATCAAGACTGTTGTCACCATCTAGCAGAGATTTATCAACGACGGAGCAGTATGAACAATTCTAGACCTTTTCCCTTATCAACTTGTGTAGAAAAATCACGTAAAAATTGTATCCCATCTAAATAATTTTCTTTTAAAATCAGGATATAATGCACCGACCATGATGAACTTCGCAAAAGAAAGGACTTATTAATCCTAATTGTTCAAAAACTTGTTCATAAAAGTTTGTTTTCCCCACAAAGGTAACAAAATTAGAGTGTCTCTGTCATACGCCAATATACTGGCAATATATCCACGAGGGATAAATTGATTCGCCAGCATACTGGCAATACGTCTTCAAAGAGTTTAAAAAAAAAAAAAGCTGCATATGATAACAACTTAAAAATCATTTTTATTTTTACACATACGCTGTGCCTTAATTTTTCAGTATAATTTACACCAACATTGATGCACTTGTACAATTGTTTTATCATTCCTCCCAAACCTGTTGCTTAGAACTGCATGCTGTGTTTTCTGTACCACATTTTCACTTCACATACAACTCATGCATCATTCGCAAAATGTCTCCCACCAAGGTGGGTTTTCAGTGGACCAGAAGTTTTATGAACCATGTGAGCACCCTATTGCAGCTGCTACAGAGTCAACCGCTACTCACCTGCCATCTTTAATAATCTCCTCCACCGGCTGCATGGATGCGTCTGTTGCAGTTTCAACAAACCAGATCGGACTTCATTAACAATTTTAGAACATCCTTGAGAAATTTTTGTCACCCAACTATGCATTGTTTTATATAAACATTTATCAGCACACACCGTATTATGAGATAAACATTTGTCAGCATAAACAAAAAAGCATTTTCTTATAAGTGTCTTTTGGAGGCAGCACTTTTGCCCCCCCCCCCCCCCCCCCAATCCCCACCCAAATGCACAAGAGCACACGTTGTTCTTTTTGGGTACACTACTTAGTACATGTGACATTTTGTTTCTGTGTTGCGAATGCACCTAGCGCCACCTAACAAACTGGAACATAAAGTTTGATGTTGCTGTCACTTAATAACACCTTTAGAAACGACCAACTACATTTTCCTGCCATCCCATAACCATTTGTGACTTACTTATTTCCTTCCCCTCATACAACTGAAGATTGAGCCATTAGTCATCGACTTCTGCCCTACCTTTAGGTCTGAAAAATAATTAATTATGAAAAAGCATTGTTTAAATTACATTGTCATTAATTTGTGCTTCTTATTTGTTTACCTCTAGGGTCTGTTGTCAACTCAGAAATCTAATTATGGAGGTGGCAATACAAAATGGGAAGAAAAATCTCTTGGCTCTTATGCAACGAGGTATGAGAACATGAGCGTGATTAATTAATTATAAATCATCGTCATTAGCTAACTACATGTTGATGGCAGCTGCAATAAATCCATGTACCCTCTGTCCTGTGCAATTCATTCACAGGCATGTTTGCCTGTAGGTAATTTTGTGTTTCTATTGCACCCTTACATTTTTCCCTCTAATACATCCTTTAAAAAAGAGCCTAATGTTTTCATTTTAACTTATTTAGTTAATTTTTTAGCCGGGATGCCGGGTTCGATCCCAGCTGTGGGCCACGTGCCTTGCGTTGGTTTCGACAGTGGTATCAAGAAAGCCGACCGTCCAGAAAGCAATGGCAAACTACTGGACGTAAATTTGCCTAGAGAAACCACACAACAGCCAGGAACTGATGGAGTTGGTTCTGCAACATCTTGTAAAGGATACGCAACTAACCTTTTTTTTTAATGTATGTTTTTTAATCACTTTCTACTGCCTGTGTATTCTCCTGCATCTCTTGCTGTTTTCATTATAATATATTTATTATTAACATTTATTTTGAAGTGATAACTTAGTTGTTTGAATTACAAATACATGTGATTGTCTGTCATAGTAAAAGTTATTTGATGATTTGTTTTTAAAAAACATGAAAAATGTAAATAATTTTGTCCATTCCAGGTAACAATTCTGTTTTACAATGATTTCTTTTTTCAGTGAAGTACGATTGGTAGAGATCATGGAGAACTTATGTAATGATGGTTCTAAAGAGGTAAATATATCATTTTAATTTGTGTGTGTTTCTTTTTTTTTTTTTTTTTAAACTCAAGTAATTTAATTCAACATGAGAAGTGATATATAAATGTAAAATAATGGGTTGAAAGGGAACCAAAAAAAGGAACAGATACACACACAAGATTGCTTTACATAAAGCAAAGCATATCTTGGTCTTCTTAATTGTCTTTACTGTTCTAGATTGTTGTGTTGAATTGTTAAAGTAGAAGTCGTCAGTCTCCAATGCAGAGTGGTTTAGCCATTTGCTTCATACTTTGACACTTTTGGGTTTGGTTTCAAACTCTGTCATTCTGTTAGATATTTGAGATATCTGAGGATATTCTGTGAAGCTACAGAGTTCATGAAGAAGAAGAAGAAAATGGTTTCCAGTTTCCACTATTAACCCTCTTAGCATGGACGGGCCGATTATCGGCCGGCGGATGTCTGGCCAAAAACACGGAACGGCCGATGATCGGCCCGATCGTGTTTCGCCTCGAACCGCTAAGAAATCTCCTACTTTGAAACACTGAAAGTGATTCATTTATATTAACTGCGGTATCAGCTTTACACATGGCGACTTTCGAGTGTTTGGTATCGATGTGAAAATTGTTGTTGAATTTTTTAGATAGTGACCTGAACCGCTAAAAGAATGTCTGACTCGTATGTTTCTGCCCCTAAACTTGATGTTGATAAAACATTTGAATCAAGTGATGACACTAATTCTGTTGATACTGATGCAGGATTTAGTGTTAGTAGTAATAGTGGGAATCAGATGGGGACGCTGTTGTGTTCAGACCACAGCCCAACCATGGCTCAGGGTATATGCAGCCGAAGGTGTTGACACTCCGGCACATCCATTTCTAGTGCTGACTGATGGTGAAAAACACATGTCACCTAAAGATATTATTGCTGTTTCACATATATTTACCTGTTTTTGACTATTGAATAGCTTACAACGTTTGTAAAAAGGCCAAAGATCAATAAAAAGATTTCAAATAAAAAAATTTTTTGTTTTTAGTTTTATGTTTCAAGCATTGAAGTTGAAAATTCAAATTCATATTTTCTATTTTTAGATATGCAAATGAGATAATTTGCATATACATCAATTAATTTTAACGATATTGTGAAAATCACGAACTTCAATCTATATCCTTCAAATAGATATATTATTTCATAGGGGTCAGAATAAGAGAAATCTGTCAAAAAAATTAAATAAAGTAATAACCAAATTCACTGAAAAAATGCTCCGTGTTTTTGGCTAGACCTCTGAAAAACTTCCCGTGCTAAAAGGGTTAAGACTGCATGAAAAATATTCATATTTGCATGTCAGGTTTTTCTAAATCATTAAAAATGTTAAAGTTACTGAAAATGTGCAAAAGAAGAATAATGTCCCTCTTTTTTTCTACTCTTGAAATGCCTCACGATTTCAGGGCAGTAGAGATCTCTGTTCGCTTCGTATAAAATGCTTTTTAGTATCTCTCATATTTTTGCCGTCCATATTCTGCCTGGTTGACCTCTGGTTCTGATACCGCTGTATCTGTATAACCTTTCTTCTCTGTGGTGTCTGATTAGCTGTCTGGTGCCGATCCTGTTACATGAACAAACCATTTGATTTGTTGTCTACCTATAAAGTTCAGTATTGGTTCTCTGCCGAGCCTCCTCCTAAAATCATTGTTCCTAAGTCGATCTTTCCTCAGTCGATCTTTCCTCGTTACTTTTAGCAAAGTATGTAAATGTTTTGTTTCTGTCATTGTGGTGTGCCGTTGGGTTGTCACTGTAGTGACTACTGGTATGGATAGATGCTTGCTTCATTTATGTCATTTTTCTCACAGTAATATTTCCATTCATATGTGGGTGGTGGCTTTAGATAGTACAGTGTTAATTTTTTAGAATCACTAGTAGTCAGCTGTCTTCTTTACTGTTTGTGCTTTATAACATGAAAGTATAAATATAATAAAAAATGTTTTTAGATTTCTTTTAACATTTCACATTATTGAAACATTTGATTTGGTTAGTTGGCACATTTCTTTCTTTCCAGTCGATATTGTTTGTTTGTTTGCATTCGCCGGCTGTAAACCCGAGCGGAAAGACCTGGTTGGTCTTCTATTTCTGGACTTCAGCGTTGTTTCAGAATCGGAGTTTTGCGTGTGTTTTACAGATTTGGCTTATTTGTATGCAGACTGTTGGTTCCTTACCTCTCAGGCAGATGCACTCCAATTCAAAGTCACCTCTTAGGACATGCCTTTTGGGGAGGCAGTGGGTCTATTCTTGTTTTCCCCACAATGTGGCCTTGTAACCCAAATGGGGAGTACGAATGATATTATAATATCTCCTCTTGTTGGGAAAAAAGAGTAGACACACTGCACCTTAACAAGCATTTCATAACAGGTGACCAATGAAGAATTTGCTGAATCAGATATGTTGGGCCCAAAGGTGACATATATGCCACAGCCTAGCTGAAAACCACAACACTATGTCAACCACCACATAGTCTTGAAAAAGATCATTTTTGTTGGTTTTTATTGGGGAAAGGGCTAAAACAGCAGATCAGATTTATTGAACAACTGGTGAGATTGAAACAGCTAGTGAGACTAATTACACTACTGATTAGACTGATTAAATGGTTGACAAGACTGAAAAAACTGTTGATAAGGCTGATTCAGCAGCTGATTAGACTGATTAATTACTGATTAGAATAAACGTCTGAGACTAAATAAGCGAAAAACCCGCTGATTAGACATATTAATATTGTTTTCTGTCCTCAGTGCCATTCCGTATTAGAAGAGTATGAAGAGCTGGTAGAGAGATATTGGTTCAAAGAGTTTGCACAGAAGAAAGAAACAGATTTGTACAATTATTTGTGTATCGAACATATGCAAGGCAAGGAATTTTCTTGTTTATGTACACTCTCATGATTATATTACCGTAGTGTGAATCTAGGATAAATCCCAATTGGGGGATAAGGTCAGAGGACCAGTGAAACAAGACGAAAGTGTGGAAAGCACGTCTTGAGTATCCAGTGGTGAGTGAATAGGGATATGAGGAAAGCATGAGATTTGAATGGAAGGTGTGCACCCAGAGAGGATAGGAAGTCAGTGTAAGTTTGGACCCAGATGTGTGCAGTCGAATGCAGGAGAACAGTTGAGAAGAATGCAGACCGTCTGACCACGTGTAATTGTGCGAGAGCAGAAATAAATGTCTCCTGACTGCAAGTTTCGACTGTGTACAGGTACAAAGAACAAGATGTTAGTCCGATCCTGATGTATGATCGGAAAGGTAGTGGCAGAGAGAATCATAGTTTGAGATATTTAGAAATTTCATAAATCAGCCATGCGTAGCAACCATGAGAACACAAGTGAGCGACATGACAGTGTGGTTGTTAGAACAGCGAATAAAGATCAATAACTGAGTGTTCGTCGCCTGGTGTATTCCTAGTACCTGTGACTAAGAACGTCAGTATAGCAATGTGACGAGTGCAATCAAACCCTAGACAGAGCCACATTGCAGTTAATTACACATTATGTTTTGACTGTGGCAGCCATGCACTGTCCAAGTTTTAAAAAGTCAAGTGCTCATTCTCTCACATCTTGATGCATATGGGGCATATGGTGCTTGCCGTATGAATCATGAATGAATATATACTGGGGTCAGTTTTACGCCGGCTGCCGTTACTTCTTAGAGCAAATTGTTGTTGTTTGCGTTCACCGGCTGATATGATTAGTTGGCACCTTTTGTTCTTTCCAGACGATATTTTTGTTTGTTTGTTTGCATTCGCGTAGCGGAAAGACCTGGTTGTTTGTTCATTTCGAGACTCTGGCTTTGTTCCAGGACCTGAATTTTGCGTGTGTATCCATTTTACATATCTTGCTTATTTATATGCAGACTGTTGGTTCCTTGCCTCTCGGGCACATGCACTCCAAATTTGAAGGAAGCCCCCAGTCAGTCGACAGTTACGACATGCTTGTTGGGGAGGCAGTGGGTCTAGTCTTGTTTTTTCCCCACAATGGGACACTGTAACCCACACAGGGATTAGAGCGAATGAAATGGGATGATTCAAGAAAGAAGATAAATGTTTGGACAGTGACTAATATCAGCATTTATCAAAGCAGATTTTAGTAAATAGAACATACCCTAAGGAGAAGCAGAACATACCCTGAGGAGAAGCAGAGAATTACCCAGCAGGCACTTAAAAGAAATGGGAAAAGTGTGATTGAGGAGATGAGGGCCTTCAAGGGAAACCCTGAGACAAACCGAGGTGAAGCAGGTGCTGGACTGGATTCCATCCATGAGATTGAAGAAGAAAAAAATCGCACAAAATAGAATAGAACGGAAGAATAGACTTTGAGCTCTGTGTGGTATATAACATCCTTACAGACAAGTGTCCCTCTATACTGACACGCTCAAACTCGTTGTTACTGTAGCATCCGCAGTTGAAAATATTCAGCTGTATAAGTATAATACATTACAGGGCAGTTTACTCAGGGGTCGAATTGTTGACAATGGGGATCATCACGAGGCCCGAGTCACAGTATAAGAAGACCACTAATGGAATACTAAATGATAATGATCTGTTCACTTGCTAGGTCTGGAGGGGGTGGGGGCAGTATGTCTTTCCAGTGTGGCTTCTGGGGACCAGAACTGATGATAAATTTCTGTGACGACAGCAGACTATCCACTTCTGTAGGTGTAAAAACCTCTGCAATAGCTCAGACTCACTCCACTTCCTCTACAACTACAGCTTCTGCCACTTGGTGTTAAAACCTCTGTGATGACAGCAAATTACCTCCCCTGCTTTTAGTGTTGAGCAAGGGCAGCTGAATTTTTTTCAAAAAGAGAGAGCACTCTATAAATGGTAATCTTCCATATAATACACCAGTTATTGATCATAATTTTTGATTTTTTTTTTTAACTTTGTTAGATTTATACTATAAATCTTCATAATATAACACACCATTTTCTTGCCTGCATCCGTATTATCTTTACAGCACTGTTGTTAAACAAATTACAACTGTTGCACAACTCTGCTTATTTTTACTGTTGACGTCATCACATTAGTACCATTAACATCATGTACCCACCATCTGACAAGGCATTTGACAACATAAAAGGATGATATTTCTCTCTTCTTCTTCGCATTCACCGGCTATCATCCACTTGTGGACTTCAGTCTTGTTCCATAACTTGAGTGTTGCATGCATATCCATTTTACAGATCCGGCTTATTTGTATGCAGACTGTTGGTTCCTTGCCTCTCGGGCAAATGCACACCTAATTATTAGACTCTTACAAAAAGCTTGTTAGGAGAGCAGTAGGTCTGTTCTTGTTTTCCCCAAAATGGGGGTCTGAAACCCACATGTGAATAGTGATGATATGACATGTACTTGAAGCAGTTTTTGTCCTGATGTTTATCTTTAACGTGGCTGCAAAGGAAGTGGCCACCTGGAGAGGATTGAGCCTGTCAGGGCTGAAGTACTGACAGAGACACACCATGTTTATTGACATAGGTCGGATATTTCTTCACCAGCTTGGTCGTGGCCTATTCTTGGGTGCTTTATTTATATCCTACCCCAGAGGACGTCATAGGACACTCCAGCATTTTAGAGGGTGGTAAGACTGGGTTTCCTGGCTTTCTGATGCTTTTAACAACCCCAAAACATCTAAAACTGGCCCTAACATCAACCCACCTACATCCAACGAGAGAGTGCAGCCTAGGTCTCACGACTGCATGCAGCCTATCTACCACTCCCTGAAATATTAGTCTGTCCTGTGACCTGTGGATTTCCCTTTTGGTGTAGGATATTAATAAAGCACCAATTCTTGTAATAAATGGTGATAGTGTAGGAATTATTCTGATAGTAGTAGTTTATCTGTAGCATTCTAAACATATTTATGTTTTGAAAAACACTTAAAACTCAGAAGCGGAGTTTACTTGTGGAGAATGAACAGAATTGTTGTATTAAAAACGCATGCATGCGCACACACAAAGTAGTCTCACAGCAATACTAACAATATTTTTATCAACATGATCAGTTTGCTGTCCAAACTTTACGTTTGGTAAAGACTGTAGCCAGTGCCCAGGAGGCAATGTCAGACCCTGCTCTGGCAATGGAAACTGTGATGTGAGTAGATGCCTCTTTTGGTGTTGATTGTGATAATAACTATTTATCTTATCGCTTTGGAAATTAAGTAAATTAAAGGACCCTTTTCCAGGCATTTTGGGTATATAGGGCTAGACCTGTATTTTATAGACCAAACAGCACTAAGTGGGTAATGGAGTCAGCATTATGCCAGCTGTCTTTACTTTATAGGACTGCACTTGGAACCCACTCAAGGCTGGGTCGATCTGGGAGCCAATGTCATTTTTAAAAAAAGTTCGTCCCCCATCATGAACCAAACCCATGACCAGCGAGCATCTAGCCACTAGACCATGGCAGCTCCCTTTTTGGAAATTATGTATATTTTATACTTATAGTAGAATTTTGAACGGTACATGTCGCAGTTAAATTACCAAATAGTAATTCCAAGTAAGGACAACACCTCAAGAGTTCAGTGATCCCTGATAATAATGCTGTAAATTACTATGTCATACATACACACGCCCATTCACCCTAAATACGTGTGCATACACACTCATGTAATTCTATGTAAAAGTAAAGGACCCTTTTCCTTGCCTTCAGACATGTTGGGCATATAGGGCTAGACCTATATTTTATAGATGAATCAGCACTCGGTGGTGATGAGGTCAGCATCATGCCAGTCGCCTTTACTTGCCAGGACTTTATCTCGTACCCATTACAGTGGGGCCAGGTTGGTTTGGCTCTATTTAATTTTAACCCTTGACCTTCCAATCCGCAGGGGAGCGTCTGTCCGCTGCTTCACTGTAGCTCTCATTATACGGTGTGAAAATATTAATATATTATAAAATTTAAATTATGCAAATAAATTAATACCACTGATCACTGGCCTTATGAGAGCTAACAGACTGAAATGATTGGGGCATATTGAAAGAATGTCAAATGGCAGAGAAGTAAAAACTGTATACACAAGGGAGATGAATGGTTATAGACCTCGAGGCAGACCAAGAAGAAGATAGAGAGATAATGTCGAGACAGACCTACAAACACTTGGTGTCACCAACTGGAAAGAGAAGGCCAACTGGAGAGATGAATAGAGGCAGGTGATTTCTGCAGCAATGAACTTCAAGGGCTCGGAATGCTGAAGAAGAAGATATAAATTAATGTTTTCCAAATATATTCTAAGTAAATTTTGAATTGTACATTAATTATTCATGTGTTTTGTTGTGTGAATTATAAATATATTTATAAAAGATATGGTTTCAAGGGTGCAGGTACTCGTGGAGGCAGTGGTAAATGCAGGTGTAATTCAGGTTATATGGGTGATCTCTGCAACCAGTGTAAGGATGGCTACTTTGAGGATTACAGTAATGAGACGCACACTCTTTGCAAAGGTAAATACATAGCTGCTAATTTTTGTGTGTATGTAAGAGGGCTGAGTGGTCTCAACGTATGGTGCTCGCCTTGAGTGAAGTAGGTCCCAGGTTCAAGTCCCGGTGAAGGCTGGGATTTTTTCACATTTACTTCTAGTAATTTCCCCTGGTCTCTGGGTGGTGAGATCGGACGCCCGTGTGTATTGCTGCTCACATTAAAAATCCCCTGGCAGTTGGAAATCAAAAAGAGAAGCCTAACTGTGCTGTCCTGGAAATACTTTTTGTTAAAAATCTACCCAAAGTATTTCAGGATCCTGGTCGGTGGAGTGGAGTTTGTGTACTGTGCTTAGATTCTTCAGACTCAGGCTTGAGTTAGAAATAAAACAGAGCACTTATGGTTTGAACCTGTGTGCCATGATGTTGATTCATGAAATAAACATAAAACATAAACATTTTGGTGTGTTTGTGTGTGTAATTTTTTTTTTCCGGGGGGCGTCTCCAAAACGGAGTTTGAATGTAGTAGGTGTGCACAGATTCTGATGAGATTGCGAGTGAAAAGAGAGAAGTTTAAGAAAGAAAAGGGGAAAAAATTGAGGACATATTTTAAGAGATTAAACACTTTCTGGAGGGAAAATTTGAAAGCAAGACGTTCGATTACAAAACAAGTGGAATGACAACAATAAAAGATGGATAAACAACAGTGAAAGAGTGTGCAACCGAGATAAGAGACAGAGCATGTTGGAGGTCCGGGGAAGCCAACTTGCACCATGGAGATGGCTCCTGATTGATTGATTGATGTACATCTGCTGCTGTTTTTGTGAACATAGCCCAGTCTTCTGTGGTGAGAATCTTGTAAGTTAAGTCTTGGTCATATATGTCTGAGTTACCATGTACCAGTATTTGATACTGCCAGTTTGCTCTTAATGCCAAATATTGGAAGACCAAATCTGACATCCCACTTTTGCTAGTAGCTTGGGTCAGCTGAGCACATTAGGGAGGCTCCTAGCCTTAAGAATAGGAAAAAGTAACCTGAAAACCTAAATGTTATGGTAGGACACACCAGACCCTTAGCCATTGGTTGGTAGCTGGTCTAAGAGACAAGCTACGCCATGTGGACAGGCAAAGTACTGCTGTTCTGATTTGGCAGTTTCTGCAGCATGCTTTGTTCTAGATGTATTAGTGTTACCTCTGGAGTTAACAGAGCAGGCCAAGATGGTAATGCTTAATGGGCAACACATGTTCCCTACAATACTGCCCAGGCTTTGTGTTTTTTGAACATCTCAAATACATGTAATGGCAACAATGATCCTGAATGATCTCATGCACTTACCGTAGAAGAAGATTCTCTTTAATGCATTTGGTCTTGATAGTCACATTTGCCATTGCCATAGGTTGTGATTCTCATGCCAGACAGGTGCTAATGTGTAGATTTTATCTCTGTTTCCTTCCTTGTCTAGCTATCTCCCACGTTTCTCTGCCATGTTTGTGTGAGTAAAAGGAAATATCATGATGACATGTTTGTTTAAACGATAGCTCTTTTTACATGTGTGTGTGGTGATAAATTTGAAATATTTTTCATAAAATAATAAATTACAGTTAACATTTGAAGTTACCCTGGTAGTCAGTGACTACGGTGAGCTTCTGGCGGCCATGAAACAGAGACAATGTATCAAAGAAACTATTCGCATTTCAGTTAAATTTATTCAGTTTTGTGCTTTATTTTATGTTGATGTAACTCTGTAGTAACCTGCTGAGATACAGCGAAATATGCCTGGCAATAAATTGTGCAATGTATTGTTTGTATCCGCATTATTTAAATTACAGTTAACATTTACAGCGTTATTGCACCTCAATGGGGATGTAAACTTGTGAAATTGGAAGGCTGATTATCTTTTTTTCCCCAGTGTGCCACATATCCTGTAAAAACACTTGTTCTGAGGAAGGACCTAAAGGATGTGATGGCTGTAAAGATGGCTGGCTGGAAAATGAGGAACTTGGTTGTCAGGGTTTGTATGTCATCTGTACTTATTGTTAACCCAGGTTCACCCAGCCTCAAAATGGGCACCAGCCTAATGTCCTGTGAAATAAAGGCAACCAGCAGGATGTTGACCACACCACCCACAAAGTGCCCATTGGTCTGTAAAATGTGACTTAACATCACAGTCGAGTCCACTTAAGTTGAACTCAGATGAGTCGAATTTCGGTTCAGTCGACATGACCAGCTTAGTCCCGGCAATTGTCTCTATTGTGTGTGCTGTCTGGATAAGTAGAAGTCCTGATAAGTGGAAGCATGTTCTTAGGTCCCTGCCACTTCTACTTATCCAGAGACGACTGTATTTGGATGCAGCGGCGATTTGATTATATAGATAAATAAGAAGAATACACTGGACAAATTAAAAAAATTAATGACAAATGTCTTGAAAGAAACTGACTCACCAAGGAGAACTGACTGCCCACATCAGAAGGACAATCTACATTCTTTTGTCATGTAATGAGAAGGAGAAATCTGTTCTACATTTTGTCAGTAGGAAAGTTGGAGAGGAAAAGATACAGAGAGAGAAGATACTACACTGTTTTATATTATGTCATGGAAGATCATCTGTTTCAGAATTTATTGAAAGTACATGTGACAGAAAGCAGTGTCCATGGCTAAGGCGTTGAGAGTCCGACTCGTAATTCCAACATACCGCGATCAAAACCCACTGCTGGCTGCGGGGATTTTTATCAAGGTATGGGGCGTCACAGGTCGACCCAATCTAAAATGGGTACCAGGATGGCTGTCCTGGGAAAGTAAAGATGACCAGCGTAATGCTGACCACATTACCCACCAAGTGCCGATTGGTCTGAAAATATGGGATGCTCTTCCCATATGCCCGATGTGCCTAAGGCATGAAAAAGGGATCTTTACTTTACATGTGACAGAAGGTAATGGATAGATGTGATTGCCAATGCTACATGGCATGAATTGTAAGAAGAAGTTTATGATATATGCGACACTGGTATAAAAATGGCCCCATTCATTTGCCATTTTTTTTACTTACATATTGTAAACTCAAGTGACTGCAGCAATGAAACCTAATAAGGAGTAAACAGTGCTAAGTACAGAACTTATTCTAAGAATTCAAGTAAAAAAAAATACACTATGAAGAAATGTTGAAAGGACACTTGGAATTCTTGTTGCCTCTTACAGTCTTTTACTATACTTAAATTGTCTGTATTTTGCTATTGTAATTCTGCTTTGATGCGCTTAAAAAAATACTCTTTGAATTGAATTTAAACCTCTATATGGGTTCTGCGGCCTCATGGGAGGGGAGGGGGAGAGAATAGATCCACTGCCAAGTATGTTGTAAAAAGTTACTAATGCTGAATACAGATGTATTAGGCCAAAAGGCCCTTATACCGCAGCTTAGGTGTAAACTACCATATAACATACCAGCTGCCCTTATTAGGGCAGTCGCAGAAGAAGTTCAAATGTTTATTGAGCGAAAATCCCACTGAATGGAGACACCGTTTCACATGTCTGTTACCAAAGGACATACTTCTCAGAATATCAGGATCGAAAGAGAGAGAGCCTTGCATTAGCCTGTTTTCTGTATATAAACCCCCACCCCCAAAAATGGTCTCTATAGCTTCAAGTCCTTACATCCTTTTCAGGGCGTAATTTTTTGTCATTTGAAGCCCCACTCTGGCTTTTGCCAGGGGCCGCAATATAGGCAGGCTATCTTTTTTTTTTTTTCCCATCGAACACCGGCTGTGAATTCCAGTGGAAGGTCCCGGTTAATCGTCCGCTTGGACTTTTGGCTTTCACCTGGACCTGATTTTTGCGTGTACAACCGTTTTTCATTTCCCTGCCTCTTGGGCAGCTGTACGCTGACTTCGAAGGAAGACGTCAGGCCTATTTCTAGGGTGACTGTGGCCATTGTTTTGTGTGGGTCGAGACTTTGCCTGGTTTGTGTGGTGTCCGCCTTGTCTCCTTCGCCGCAGGTATTGCCCCCGGAGTACCCCTTTGGGGCAGCCCCCTGTGAAACAGTTGGCCCTCAAGGGAAGGCAGTGGCAGATCATGGGCATTCCCCGCCATCCAAGGAGGCTTCCATGCATGCAGAGCCGGCACATGGCGCTCTGGTTCTGGGCTCACCCAAGGAATCGTCACGTCCTGCACATGCCTGCTTAACCTCACAACCGTATCAGGCCTTCCGCTCGACAGGGGCTGCGCCCTCTGGAAGTCAGCGGGGAGCAGCCCGTTGGTTTTGGACTTTTGTGACCACACAGATAGGTACATTAGCCCGACAGAATTTCACATCCTGAATCAGGCATATCGTTATCAGTTTTGTCCCAACACTCGGGCGAGTGGGGTCTTTGGGTGTGGACATTCGGCCTTTTTCAGTTCAGTGCAAATTTTGATGGTCAGATTTTGATCCGTATGATCTAGTTTTGTCGGACATTTAGGCTTAGCCATCGGATGTATGGTTGCTGTTGTGGTGTACCACAGCGCGGTGACGACGACACTGAGGGTTAACCTAGGATGTACGTGACTGGCCAGCCTATGGATGATTGCTGTTGTGGTGCACCTCAGCGCGGTGACGACGACACTGAGGGCCAACCGAGGATGCACAAGGATGGCCAGCCCATGTATGGTTGCTGTTGTGGTGCACCTCAGCGCGGTGACGACGACACTGAGAATTAACCGAGGATGAGCATTGAGCAATGTTCTCTTTACTCCGCAGTCTTTTAACCAAGGGTTGTAATTTTAGCTGTACTTTTGTCTAACCTACTCATGTTTTGATAACATTTTTCACCCAAGCGTTTGGGGGCGGGCTGATGAGAGCCACAAGGACACATCACCTCTGGGGGCCGCCAAACTCCGAGATCCCCTGACAGCTCTGTTAATGCTCATTTGAGACATTATCCGTGGCGCACGACGAGGACGTGCTGTAGGGGTCTTGCGTGAGGTTCCGTACAACCAGGATAGTAAAGGACTGGCGCCCGAGTGACGTACGGAGTATCTCCTTATACACATCATGTTGGACTTAACTTCCCCTCACACCTGTGACATAAATCACCGCGCCACAGGCAGGCCATAAAAATGGCCAAATGTCTGAACGCGGTTTCTGGGACCTCTCCACGGTGATCCTGATCCACATGGTGGCACGTTGTGTCATCGGGTGTTTATCGCTTGTGTGATGTCCTAGTGGGGTAGAAAGTCACTCAAAATGGTCTCTCCTTGCACTGTCACAATGAATACTCTGAGGTACTAATGTGGAAAGTGTCATGAAATTTTGTCAGACATGTGTAAAACAGTCCAACGTGCTGAGGAAGATAAGCATTCATCTTTGTGTTAGTATTTTTTTTTTTTTAAATCACACGTCTGTTGACTGTCTCCTCCTGGCCTCTGAAAACACAGCTTGTGGTGGGTGAGAGGTTCAGTGTACAGAAGTGATGTTAAGCAGTCCTGGTAAGGGCATGAGGATTTCAGTACCACAGTGCCATATATTGGTTTTGCATTCATTGAAGCCTTCTTGGATGTCATGGAATGCTGATGTTCTCCCTCTGAGTAGCATTACATTGCTACTGTGGACCTGGCCTGCTGGATTAGGGTCCACTTGTGGATTAGAAAACAAAGATTCTTCCTCTCCATTTGCCCTTAAATGGGCGGTGAGTATGAAGGTTTAAGGTTTACAGCTAGACTGCGATATCTGTGCCTTTCTGGCACATCAGATTTAAACAGACCCTTAATTAATTAAAGTTAACAACATGCTTGATAAGTGGCAGCTGATCTGTTGCAAATGAGGTCCAGAACACACACACTGGAAGGAAAGAAGGATGATAGGAAAACAGTGATGCTATGCAGTGTCTCATAAAACTAACCAGGAAGGCTAACCTAGGCAGAAGAGTTCTTGATCCAGAGGTGCGCATATTACAGCTGTACTGTAAATGGGTGGGTTCAACGCATTTACACGTTAGAGGGATGAACATGTATACAGACGCTAAAATGGTAAATTGTTTTGTTTCCTTTAAAAAAAAAAACTTTTTAACTGATGCGTGTTCATAATACTTAATTTCAGATATAAATGAGTGCTTGGAGGATCCCTGTAATGAAAACCAGTACTGTACAAACACTCAGGGCTCTTTTACTTGTTTTTGTAAGTATTGTTAACATTGAGAATCTTCTTCTTTTGTCCTCTCACTGATACCAGGTTGTAGCCTAGTGTCGTGGTTTTGTCGTCTCACTGATACTAGGTTGTAGCCTAGTGTCGTCGTTTTGTCGTCTCACTGATACCAGGTTGTAGCCTAGTGTCGTAGTTTTGTCGTCTCACTGATACCAGGTTGTAGCCTAGTGTCATGGTTTTGTCGTCTCACTGATACCAGGTTGTAGCCTAGTGTCGTGGTTTTGTCGTCTCACTGATACCAGGTTGTAGCCTAGTGTCATGGTTTTGTCGTCTCACTGATACCAGGTTGTAGCCTAGTGTCATGGTTTTGTCGTCTCACTGATACCAGGTTGTAGCCTAGTGTCGTGGTTTTGTCGTCTCACTGATACCAGGTTGTAGCCCAGTGTCGTGGTTTTGTCGTCTCACTGATACCAGGTTGTAACCCAGTGTCGTAGTTTTGTTGTCTCACTGATACCAGGTTGTAACCCAGTGTCGTGGTTTTGTCGTCTCGCTGATACCAGGTTGTAACCCAGTGTCGTGGTTTTGTCATCTCACTGATACCAGGTTGTAGCCTAGTGTCGTGGTTTTGTCGTCTCACTGATACCAGGTTGTAGCCCAGTGTCGTGGTTTTGTCGTCTCACTGATACCAGGTTGTAGCCTAGTGTCGTGGTTTTGTCCTCTCACTGATACCAGGTTGTAACCCAGTGTCGTGGTTTTGTCGTCTCACTGATACCAGGTTGTAACCCAGTGTCGTGGTTTTGTCGTCTCACTGATACCAGGTTGTAGCCTAGTGTCGTGGTTTTGTCCTCTCACTGATACCAGGTTGTAACCCAGTGTCGTGGTTTTGTCGTCTCACTGATACCAGGTTGTAACCCAATGTCGTGGTTTTGTCGTCTCACTGATACCAGGTTGTAGCCCAGTGTCGTGGTTTTGTCGTCTCACTGATACCAGGTTGTAACCCAGTGTCATGGTTTTGTCGTCCCACTGATACCAGGTTTTAGCCTAGTGTCGTGGTTTCCTGTCTTGCGCTACTAGGGTGATGGATTTATGAATAACGATTTTAGCTACATCATTTATCCATCTCTTTAACATTGAGAATACATTTTGTGAAGTCAGTGCTGTTATATGGATGAAAACCTTGTGTGAGTTCCTGGGCCTTATTTTGGGCTACACAAGAATAGGTAACTAATTTAGGGTTTACTGAAATCTTATGTTTTAGGCCTATGGGCGCAAATATTGCAGCTTTGCTGTAAACCACAACACATTGTGTCAACCACATTTAAAGGACATATAGAAGAATGGATGAAAAGCAGTACAATCTTCAAATATTCCTAACTTATTCTAATTATAACACAGATCCCCATGTGGATTCTGGGACTCTTTTTTGGGGGGGGGGGGGGGGATTTGAATACAAAAAAGCTGCATCTGTAAAACAGATATGCATGCAAAACTCAAGTTCTGGAACAAGACTAAAGTCTGGAGGTAGACAAACACGCAGAACTTTCTGTCGGAGTTCACAGCTGGCGAACACCAGGAAGGAAAAAAGATATTCCAGTTGAAATGATTGATTGACACCTTTCCGTCTTTCCAGACGATACTGTTATTCTGCGCTTTGAAGAGGCATGAGACTCACAGTCCATGGAGATGGCAAGTGTGACTAGCAAGACTCGCCCTTGTCAAGAAAAGTCTTCTACAGTGCTATCTTGGGATATCAGGACCATTGTTGTCAACATTTGTGTTTAATCCGTTTCTTTTCAGAAGCTCAGCTCTCATCCTTTCTGCAGTAATTTCTTCCTTCATTCTCATTCCCTTCCTGATATGCCCTTTCCACACAACACGGTATTTTGTTCAAATGAGTCCACCTAAATAACTGTATCATTCATGTCCCGCTTGCACACATCTTTATTTATACCATAATAGAGGTCAGCCTCGAAATCTTCTTCCTGTCTTTAATTCCCTATACAGGATGTCCTTATGGGGCTCTGCCATCCTGTATTCCCCAGGTGTGACCCAGCCACCTGAGCCTTCGTGAACTGAGCATGGAAAAGACTGTTGTAGTACCATTTGAAATATTGATAACATATTTACGTGTTCAAGACATGTTTTCTCCTTCTACAGCTTGTGATGGTGCCTGTGTGTCCTGCACTGGGTCAGGGCCAGACAAGTGCAACGAATGTAGTCCTGGCTTTTCCATGAATGAGACTAAATTTTGTTTTGGTATGTGTCAAATATTATCTTTCTTTCTTTCTTTCTTTCTTTCTTTCTTTCTTTCTTTCTTTCTTTCTTTCTTTCTTTCTTTCTTTCTTTCTTTCTTTCTTTCTTTCTTTCTTTCTTTCTTTCTTTCTTTCTTTCTTTCTTTCTTTTTTTTTTTCATTGGCTTTCATTTATTTTGTCATTTGTATTTCTTTCATCCCATCTATCACCACAGTCTGGTGAGATGGGGTGATTGATGAGAGGTTCTGGCATGTGCTCGAGGCTCAGTGTAAAGGCAAGACGGAAGTTTAATCAGAATGCTACTGGCACCAATAGTATCGAAACTCTTTGCTGGCTGCTGAAGATAGGCACAGAGCGCTTATGGGAATGCCCCAAGTGCTGTGATGTCGGTTCTTGAATCGAATCAAATCATTCATCCCATCTTTCTATTTTTTCCTTCCACATTTACTTTTATCCTGTCAATATCGGGTAAAAACACAGCTTTCTAGAAAATCCCTTTATTGGGCGGGTACAAGCAAGTTGATGCTAATGGCTTCTGTTTAAGGTAATTTCTTATGGGTCTGCCTCTTGTTTTGTTTTGTTTTTCCACCATTTTTCTTTTCTACAACAGAGGTATTCTACAGGTTAGAGTCATATAAAAAAAATCTAAACTATAAAGCCGCAGTGAAGGCAGACCAAAGAGTTAACCCATTCTGGCATCATTCTGGGAATTCAAAACCCCATTCATCCTATTGAATTCCTTAACTATTTCATAGTGTTATTTTTGTATGATTGTTATTGCAAAATTTGTTATTCACATGAATGTTCTCACATGAAATGCCATATTTTGACAGATAATAATGAATGTGAAGCTGATGAAACGTTATGCAAAGGAGAAAATGAAGTATGCAAGAATACGCCAGGAAGCTATGAATGCCGTTGTAAGTCAGGATTTACCAGGACTGATAATGTTTGCATTCGTGTGGCCAAAGGTGAGTAACTATTTTACATTTTAAACATCTTCTTTTTTATCCATATTTCATGCTCTTTGTTTTTTTTTTCTTCAAATTTTGTTTGAATACTGTTTTTATTGTTCTTTTATGAAAAGTTGAAACTGGAAAATTAGTTATGTTTTAATAAAGGATAACTTTGTTTTGTATATTTAACTCAATCGGTCCCAAGCAGTTATTTATATCTTTTTCTACCTCATATTGAGCCTAAAATTAATTAATAGTTAGGTCTTGAAGAGTATCAGAAATATTTAAAAAAAGAGACTGAAGCATCAGAACCCCAGCCATCTTGCCAGAGAAACATGCAGATAGCACCAAGATCTGCTTGAAAGAGATGATGTGCACTGTGTGAAAAGCTTAGGCTAGAACCATGGACAAGCGAGCCAAAGAAGGCAGATGTAGTTCTAAAAGTACCAAGAATCACTTCAAAAAATGCACATATGGAGTTACAAACAACGAGCCCTGGCTCTTGCTGTGCTTGAAGAGAAGTATCCCAGTACTACCTGGACTTAGGTTTTCACTAAAGGCTCTGCTATGGGTGCAGACAGAAATGGAGACTGTGGAGTATACATTAAACATCCTAACAGCAGAGTAGAAAAACTCTCTCTGAAGCACCTGCCCTCTTTTCTGCAACCTGGTACCTCATCACTCAAGAACAGAGAGGGCACAAAATTGTTATACTGGGCGCCTCACTGTCTGTTTTCCATGAACTGTCAAGCAAAAAACAAGACAAACTAGGATTTAAGGACCAACATTGGATTGCTTTCCAAGGAAGCAGAATTGGTCCTGCAGTGGATAACAACCCTTTGTGGTATTCAAGGAAATGAGAGAGCGGATGAGCTGGCAAAAGCTGGGAGTAATCTTCCTGTAACGAGGTGAATTCCCAGAAAATTCACAATTGAGGGGACAAGGTCAAAAGGCCAGGGAAACAAGAGAAAAGGGAGAAAAAGCATGAACAGAGGTATGGAAAATCATGAGACTAGAACGGAAGGTTTGAACAAAGAGAGTAGGTAGAGTCAATTGTGTTTTGACCACTCGAGAGGACGGTTGCTTGTTGATACGCATGAGGCGAATATCATTGTGAAACTGGAGGACCAGCATTAGTAAAGCTCAAGTGCCTGAGGAGAATTGAATCTAAGTGACAATGTCTAGTGTTATGTGAACATTTGTGTTAGGATGATTCAGATGCCATTATCCATTCTAATGGAACATCCTGACTGGCAGTTAACTGCAACTATTGTGTAGCTGTCATCTTGTCGTGGAAGGCGATTAGGGAGAACTTTGGACATCGACGGAATGATTTATTGTTGTGCCACAACGAATACATGAATGCAACGTTATCATCTTGCTTTGAAGATACGTTTGTGTGTCCAGCATTTATGGCTTGGGTGAGTCACGCATAAGAAAGAGCAAACCACTAGAACGAGCCAACACCAGCATTGTTGCCCTAACAACAACAACAATGTTACACTTCCACAACCTCATCCACCACAGAGCTACAAGGAAACCAAAACAGCTTTAAAGCAGTCTTTCAAGGGCGAGTCGAGAATGCAGAATGGAGACTACAGACCAGAAAGTGGCAGCATAAACAAACTCAGCAGTAAAGAACAAACAGTTTTTAGACTTTGAACAGGACACTGGTCTCAAAGCAGACCTGCACAGGATAGGCATAAAGAATCTGCTGCCTGTGATTGCAGAGCAGGAAGACAGACTCCTGAACACATACTGCAGTACTGCCCTAACCTCTCCCAGCAAAGACTGTGGATCTGGCCCAAGAGAGCTACACTACAAGAGAAGCTGTGGGGGACTGGCAATGACCTAAACAGCACGATCCTATTTGTGACCCAGGCGGGACTGAACGTTAAGCATGACAGATGTCGAATGCAGAAGAAGAACAGAGATATTACAGGACAGAAATAGTTAAATTTAAATATCAGATACAAAGGGTCAGTATAACATTTGTGATTGAAGACAACAAGAACATTGTGTTATCTTCGGAATGACTGAGAAACATTTGATGCATTGATCGGCACTGAAAGAAAATATATCCATGGGCACTGAAAGTTAACAATGATGAGGTGAAAGTAGCTTTCATTGGGTAGGTAACCTGGTAATTGTATAACTAGATAGTCTCTTTTTGGAGCCCACAGGTAAATAAACCAGAGGGGGACTTAATACATTAAGAAGGTACAATGTTGAATACTGTGAGTAGAAAATAATGGGAGTTACAAGTGATGGAAAAAAACAAAAACAAGACAGCTTGGTTGAGGAGATATGCTTTACTGGGACAAGTAGAAGAAATTGATCTTTAACTTGAAAAAAAAATTGTATCTTTAAAACACACAAGTGCACAGACTGTGACAGTTTTATGTCTTGCACTAAATGTGAATATATTTGGGCGATTCCATTGTGTATTCAAAGTTTAATTTAATATTTGTCGTTGTGATTGATTTAAAAATCTTAGGAATATTTGCATGTGCCCATTCGCTACTACTAGCTTTTTTTCTGAACCTCTTAATTGATTATATTCATATTTTTGTTTTTACGAAAGTCTTCCGGCCGAAAGGTCTAGCATTCAGATTTGTATTGTGTGCCCCGTGAAAAAAAAAAAGGTTCTTTACTTTACACTTGGAAAAGCGCGGTCTAGATGCTTGCCTGCGGATCGGCAGGTCATGGGTACTGACTTTCCTTAATTTGGAAAGTTTACACATAGCATCTACCAACTGCTGTAACATTACTTTTTAAAAAACCTGGTTCATTGATGACTCAAACTGACACCCTTCATTGTTTAATTACTTGCTTCCCACTCTTGACAACAAAATAGTTTGTGTGGCCATAGGATTTCCTGATACAACTGTTTTATGGGTATCTGGGATTTGTCCCTGTTGGACTGACATTTGAATAGTGGCTCTTTGAGTCACTGGTTTTCAGACTTCTAGACTGCAGTCCAAGAAATAAAATAGGGGAGGGATATGTATGCATGGGTTGTTTATTTGTTTTTGTATGCATGGTTTTTTTAAAATTTAATATGTCAGTTTGTTCTTTTGCTGCACAGTGCAGATTATTTTCAGTTTTAAATATTCAAACACATTTGAGTAATGATGTCAGCTTTAGTAGAATTTATTTTGATAGCTTTCTGCATCGGCTTTTGTTACTGTCTAGTTGTACCTGTATGTGCCTCTGTAACTTGTTTCATTATTGTTGTTCTTATACAGGGCGTCCCCTAAATATTCATACATAAGAAAGATAAACATATCACCAATGCCTTTGCAAGCATGAACTTCATCTGTGTTCTTCTGCAGTTTTTCATTTAAAATACTATTTGTTTTAAATTTCCCCTATGTGTGGAAACTTAAGAGGAAACCTGTATTCATTTGCAACTCACACTTAAGAGGCACTCTGTATCCATTTGCAACTCACACTTAAGAGGCACCCTGTATTCATTTGCAACTCACACTTAAATTAAGAGGCACCCTGTATTCATTTGCAACTCACACTTAACTTGACAGCGTTGTCTTAGCTTAATTGGCATAAAAATACCAACATGTGAAAATTGTAATCTTGTCACTGAGTTAAACTTTTTTGTTTTTGGAGTAGCATTTTTTCTTTGTGCTTTGTATGCTTATTTATTCCATAAAATAATGCCAACACTTGATATTGTTGACTTCCTACTCAGCAAGTTTGCATGATTATGGCAAAGTGGGTTGACTGTTTTGCTGATTATGATAAAGAGGGCTAATTGTTTTCCTGATTGTGGCAAAGAGGTTTCACTTTTTTACTGATTATGATAAATATGATTCATTGTTTGACTGGTTATGACAGAGGGTTAATTGATTTACTGATGATACATAGAGTTTAGTGTTTTATTGATTATGATATAGATGGTTCCCAATGAATATAGTTCATGGTTTTACTGATTATGATAGATAAATTGTTTTACTGATTGTGATTAAGAGGACTGGTTATAACAAAGAGTGGTAAACTGTTTTACTGATCATCACCAAGAGGATTAATTTGTTTTACTGTTTAAGACATAGGGGGTTCATTGTTTTACTGTTTAAGACATAGGAGGTTCATTGTTTTACTGCATGTAATTGTATACCAGAAAAACTGTCCATTCTTTGATAAATATAGATTGTAAGTGATGGTCTCTTCACAGTTAGAGAAAACCCACCAGGAGGAGGATTGTGATCCGTCATTAGTTTTCCTTGTCTTGGAATCTACTGTGCTTTCTGAGATTTTTGTCTTTGACGTCTGCATGTGCCCTTGAAAGATTGGTTGGTGCATTTAATTAATCACCTCTCACAATATGCTTGTTATGGGGCAGTGCCCCTCCCCAAAGGTGCCCTGAAATCCATATAGGGGATGGTTTCTGAGAAAAGTAAATATTTGGGATAGTCAATGTAAATAATAATGATTTCTCAGTGTTAAAATCCTCTTGGATGTGTTTTCCCAGATAGCAAGGGTGCTCATGTCTCCACAGATCTTGTTTCTGAAGGCATTCTTTTGTTGTTATTCATTTTTTATCTTCATGATTTTTTTTGCGCCATTATATGTCACATGAAGTGGCTCAGGGATGATTCCTATGTTCTGTTCAATGCTTCTTATGTTTTGAAGAACGGATCAACATTATGGCACACGAGTAGTAACCCTTAAGTGCTCCGTTCTTCTAACTCAAGCCTGAGTCTGAAGATGCTTAGCACAGAGCTCAGGCTCTGTAGCACCGGTGAGGATGCTAAAATACCTTGGGAATTTTAAACTCAAAATTTAGTCCGGGCAGCGCGTTAGGTTACTCTTTCCGATTGCCAAGGGATTTTTTTTTTACGTGCGCAACAATGCACACGGGCGTCCAACCTCACTAACCAAAGACCAGCGGGAATTACTAGAAGTTTAAGTCCACGTGAAAAGATCTAAGCCCTTACCGGGATTGAAGCCAGAACCTCTAGCACTTGAGGCGGGCACCATGCCTCAAGACCACGCAG